AAAAATAGTGTACTGTATGTATCTTGTACTTAATGTTATGTAATGTACATACAATAAAAGTGATCAATAAATTGGTACAGTATTACCCCGCTTAACGCGCTTTCACTTAACGCGTTTTCGCATATACGCGGTGCCTTGCCAAAGCTGAACTTTCACTTAACGCGGCATTTTTCATCATATACGCGGTGAGTGTCCGGCTCGAGAGCTATTTTTAGATTCGCACCACCCCCCCACCCGCCACCCTGCCTGACTGCCTGTTTTAGCTCATAAAATTCATACAAATTACCCAGCCAGAATATAATTTACATTGCTGGAATTCTTATAATTTGGTGATCATTTTGAATATAAACAACATATATTTTGCATTAAACATACAATTTTTAGATAAAAATTGTTCTCTAGGTAATTATGTTATCTTTTGTCCAAAATATATGACATTTATATTCAAAATATTCCTGGTCTTACAAGGAATCCAGCAATGTCAATTATATTATCCTAACTTTAGTTTGAGGTATTATTTATTAAAATTTAGTGGTTATCCCACACATCTCCTTGGGACGGTTGGTGGGGGGGGGGGAGGGAGGGACCGACCGACCGACCATCTGTTACCCCGTGAAGAATTATTTTTTTTTTTATTAACTGAAGATATTTGTTTTAGCTCATAAAATTCATACAAATTACCCGGTCAGAATATAATTTACATTGCTGGAATTCTTATAATTTGGTGATCATTTTGAATATAAACAACATATATTTTGCATTAAACATACAATTTTTAGATAAAAATTGTTCTCTAGGTAATTATGTTATCTTTTGTCCAAAATATATGACATTTATATTCAAAATATTCCTGGTCTTACAAGGAATCCAGCAATGTCAATTATATTATCCTAACTTTAATCTGAGGTATTATTTAATACTAAATGTTAAAAACTCTTGAATGGAGGATTGGTGGGGGGTGGGGGGAGGGTTGGGACTGACCACGCGGTTGGAAGAGGGGGGGAAGGCAAGGTGGGGTACTTTGATTGACAGATAGTGTCGAAGAATATTTTTTTTTTTTTATTAACTGAAGATATTTGTTTTAGCTCATAAAATTCATACAAATTATCCGGCCAGAATATAATTTACATTGCTGGAATTCTTACAATTTGCTGATCATTTTGAATATAAACATCATAGATTTTGCATTAGACATACAAATTTTAGATGTAAAGTTTATTCTGAGTAAATATGTTATCTTTTGTGAAAAATATATGACATTTATATTCAAAATATTCCTGGTCTTACAAGGAATCCAGCAATGTCAATTATATTATCCTAACTTTAGTTTGAGGAATTATTTATTACTATACCTGGTTTTCCCCAAAAATTTCTCAGAGGGAAGAGCCAGTGAGTGTAGTGTGAGAAGAGGGGGAGGGAGTTGAGTCCATTATTTGAATGGACATTAACTTGGCGACTGTATTTCTCTATTTCTCTTAAGTATTAATTGTGTGCATGTACCATCATAAAATTAAGATGTTATTTTTACTACAACATAGTTATTTGTCGTCAAAAAGTGGAGTTTGGGGGTCGGGCTGGGTTCTATTGGAATTAATCCCATATGTTCTGTTATTCACTTAACGCGGTTTTCACTTAACTCGGGACCCTCTGGGTTCAATTGACCGCGTTAAGTGGGGTACAACTGTAGTGAAAAAAGTGAGACTGCGCGGGAGGCCAACGTATGTACGTATGGAAATAGTGTCATTTATCTTATGTACACACACACACACACACACACACACACACACACACACGGTGAATTTGCCATGGGGGGGGGGTCGCGGTCACCCTTCTCCGGTTGTGAGGAGGTGGGGGGATTAATGCATACGGTACTTAAGGATAACGGGAGAGGGGTTATAAAATGTAACTAACTTGACTTAGGAGAATATAACTTGCATTGCTGAAATTCTTGTAAGATAGCGATTAATTTGAGTATAAACATCCATTATTTTGCACGTTACATAATAATTTTAGTAATTAACCTAGTACAGTACATTTGGGTATATAGGTTGTGCAATAATTTATGAGGTTGCAGTTTCAAAGCTTTGTGACATCACTAATTTGTAATGAGTCTCCATAGGCCCTGGTTTATTCATTGATCAGTTGTCTAACTGCAAAAGTAGCCCTTTCAAGCCATCATTTATCAATTAATTTAAAAATATAAATTATAATGTAAAATGTAATAAGACAACGGATTAGTAGTGCTGTTAATTTGTGTGCTGTGTAAGTGTCTTGGCATGTCACCTCACCACCTGACTCCTTAACAAACACTTCATCAACTTCTTCAGATCCTACATTGTGCTTGGCAAGTTAAAACACACACACACACACACACACACCATTATGTCTAAATCAAATGTAAGTCTGTATATTTTCAGCCACTGGCTGCAACTCCATTAATAAACCATTCATTATTGTTATTATTATTATTATTATTACTGTGGGATACTCAGGTGGTCCTTACACTCAGGGGTAAAGGAACCACACTGATGTCAAGTCCGTAAGTCCTATTTCTGGTACAAACACAAAAAGGAGTTAAGACAGGGGTAAACAGCGTCCTGTCTTGGAATCTCTCTGGGTATCTCTCTCTGCGCATGTGCCCAAAGCCTGAACTAACACTCGGTGACAAAAGGGAGTATGATTATAAAACATATAATACAGAGACCTGAATCAATAATGGTAAATAGTACAGAGTTACATATTACAGCCATATTCGTCTCATATATCTAATCACACACACACACACACACACACACACACACACACACACACACACACACACACACACACACACACACACACACACACACACACACACGGAATTAAGACAACAAGCATCCAGTGAGGGTCTTCTTGTGTGACTGCATGGAGGCAAATTAAAAGATCAGCTGTTTAGGAGCTTATCGCTTGGCAACACTGGTGTGTGTTATCACTCCTTTCCATTCCATCTATCAAATTACCCACACTTTTCTGCTTTCTAACTCCATATTTTAAAATGTTATGTAATGTAATGTTGAAGGGATACAACTTTGCTCATTTATATATATACTTATTACAATGTTTTTATTCAAGACATCTTCAGTTCATAAGACCAACTAATCCCCCACCCAAGAAAGGGTGACCTGACATTCCATCAGAAAGTCAGTGATAGGAGACCACTAATCCCCCACCCTACCTCCACCTGACATTGAATCAGGTCTGGTCCCTCCCCAAAATACTTGAGCTTTCGTCATTATTCAAGACATTTTCAGAATATGCTCTCGATTTTCGACCTCGGAATTTTTTTTCCCAGAGCCGGATTTTTTTAAAATTCCGGCTTTGGGAATGCTTTTCCGAGCAAATTTCAATTACGGCTATCGGAGAGTTCCGGATTTAGGGGATTCCTGCTATCGGAGATATTACTGTATGCAGCTATGCCTGAAAATTTCTGCATTATTTATACTGTATTGTAAGGTGATTTTCAGCCATCAATTAATTCAGGTTGTAAGAGTTCATTCAGTTGTATTTAACGATAGATACATGTATCCTTGATAATCGTGGGGGTTAGTTTCCAGAAAACTACTGTACACTTACTTTGAGGTGTGTATGTAGAAGGCTCCTGGTTGATGATGGGAATTAGAGGTGGGGTGGAGAAGGGAGAAAAGAAGGAAGTGGTATGGAGGAAAAGTCACCTTCTTTGGACCCATGCTTTATGTCTCATTTCACCAATAAAATTTTAAGTTCACTAGGTGTAATTCAAGATTATTTTCTTTAAATCAACACTGCACTGCACTATATATTATCAATATGTTAACTAAAGTTCAGAATGACCAATAATTTCAATGAAAAATGCAAAAATATTCAAGGCACCAACAAAATAGATGCTCTCTCCACAGAAAACAAAGCCAGACTGACGCCTGATCACCGACCCACGCATCTGATGGGCGCACAACAAACTAGTTCCCTGTACTGCATATATTATCAATATGTTAAATAAATGTTAAAATGACTAATAATTGTAATATAAAACATTAAAAAATATTAAAACCTGAAATTTATTGATATTTAATCCATTGGAAATGAATTTAAACTTAGAACAGATTACTGAATTGGCAGACTGGGCCATCAGCTGACCAGCTGATGCTCACAACAAAACGTGATTTTCGTAAGGATTTCGTGAATCAAATTTTTGTTTGTTAACCGAATTGAAGATTCTTATGGAAGGTAATTTGTTAACCGAAGCGTTCGTTAACCGAGGGACCACTGTATTCAACAAGACAGTAATTATTTCTGAATCCACCTGCTTCTTGCAAATACGTCTCAACACAAGACCAGCTGTGGGAGTTAGATGTAAACAAACCCATGACAAGGTGCTTGTAGGCCTATCGAGGCAACATTCAACTTATAGGAAGACTATGAATATATGAATGCAGTGGGGTATGCTATAATGAAGGATTCTACTACGAATATTCCTATAACGAACGGTTTTACCTATAAAATTGAGAATGCTATAACGAACGAAACTCCTACAATGAACATTTTTTTTTATTACAAGTATTAATGATATTCTTTATTTCAGGGGTTTAGATGCATATTTATGCACTTTTTTACAATTTTTACAATTTTATATTATATTTTTCAGTGTTAAGTGGTTGTATTTGGGGGCCTGGAACGGATTAATCCTATAACGAACGAATGCTATAACGAACAAGGTTCTAGAACCAATTAGATTCGTTATAGCATACCCCACTGTACATATTTTCTATTTAAAGCAGGCATAAAGTATATTTTCTTTTTGGTTATTTATGGAGTAAAACAAACATTCAATTGAGTGTGTGCAAGCAAAACTTGAACCTAACCCAGTGAAGAAAATGTATGGTTTTTCAGAATGTTCTATTTTCTAAGATCTGGTTTTGGGGGTCTCAACCTGTAAAATACTTTCTTATCTTGTAAGCTACTATAAAACATTGTTTTCTTTTCAGCTACGGAATGACGGTGAGAAAATGACTGCTTACTGTCAAGAGCTACAAATTCACATATCAAATAAAGACGGTGAACGATCTCAATTGGAGTCTGTACTTTCTGAATTTAAGGCTGAAGTAGTGCTGGTATGTGTTTTAAGTTTTCTGGGAAACACGTTTTTATATGGTAATGTAGGTCTTGCTAGGAAAGTTCGTTGAAGATGCAAATGGTGGTTAATGATCTTAAAGGACTTGAACTTCCCAATTGGCTGCTATTTTATAACAAAAAACCTGCTAGGTTAAGAGCTTTTTTAGAAAATGAGGTTTTTGCATCAATCCTTAATCAATTAATTCTATATTTTATGATTTAGTGTAATTATTGATTTATATATTATAATTTTCAAGGTACAAGGAGAGGTGGAACGCTTAAAGAAGCTTCAAGCTCAACAAGCACTTAGTGTTGAAGAATTGGCTCGGTTTAAGAATCATGCTCGTGACGTGGCTTCATTCATATCACAACTTCAGCAAGAAGGCAAGGATCTTGACACTAAGGTAAAGAATTTATAGAAGGAAATTTTATTACTCTCTTTGTGGCCTATGAGTCATTGAACAATTTATCTGTAAAATCTCCTACCAAAACAACCTAATGAAGTATGTATGATTCGAGGGGCTTTTTCTGGTCATGAAACAAGTACAATGATTTATTCAAATGTTGCGTTGGTGCAAATGCTATTGTTAAAACAATGAGGCTTGCTGAACCAGGGTTATGAAACATGATTTGGTGTCTTGAGAGTCAGTACAATGGGGGTAAACTGTGAACGAGTTGGCTTGACTGAACCCTCCTCATAATTACTGTAATCTGACAGCAAACTTTACATTTTACCTGCATCCACTTTTTCATCTAAACTTGTTTACTGTGCTCTGGTATTTTTCGTTGATTTTCCAGTGATGAGTTAATTTCTGCCAATTCCCTGAAGTTGGGCATTTCACATCCGGTAACACAGGCTTTTGACTGGGGAAGCCTTTCCGTCACAAAACCACCCTGTATTGTTCATGATAACAAAACCAGGCACCCAGGATGGCATATCAATACTCTGCAAACAAACAAATAGATATACAGTAATTTCCTCGTTAATTGGAATACCTGATTCCTGGAACTCTCCAATAGCCGGGATTGAAATTGGCTCAGAAAAATTCTGGGAAAACTCCATTCTGAGTTTCCCAGAATGAGAATCAGGTGCATTTATCATAAAAGAAATTCTGAGAAAATCTCTCCAAATCTCACTGTTCCAGGCCTGGGAATAAAATTTCCAGGAGTTCCGAGACATTGCATTGTGTTCTCATGTGTCCCCACGTGCCAGGCCCGTGAGTGGCCTAGCTGCTGGGATCACTTAGTTCATATTCTGTTGCCATTGTAGAAGGTCGTTTCCTTTGCGAGCTGCATTTTTGCATATAATTATTGTTGTGCAATGCTGTACATTACTGTACTGGGACACAATCAGCCAAGAATAGTGTTACAGCAGTGTTAAGAACGTAAAAAGTGATTACAGTTACGTATACTATACTGTACATTCAGTATTGTATTTTATGGCATATAAGATGCACGGCCATTAAGCAGGGAGTACTGTATTTAGGAAAAACTTTTGTGTGTATTTTCCTATTGTAGCCATATTTTTTTTTTAATATTATATACAGTACCAGTAAATGTGAGGAATAAATAAAAATATTACCAATAAATAAGTTACACCAAAAAATACTATATTGCCAATCCATTAAATAAAAGCCAAATGAAGTTTAATGCAATTTCCATTTGCATATACTCCTTGCTTCTCCATAGCAACGAAGACCAGCAAGAACGCTACCTCTGCCGATTCCCTACCAACACTTCCTCCCCCTATACACTGCGCCATCCTTCTACTCCCCTGCTGAACCGGCTAACTCATATCTTCACTTTATCTGTTTGCCTTTAGGAGAATTATTTCTTTAACTTTTTTCACAATATGTATGTAGGATGGTGTGTGCATGTAACCTCGTGGCTTGGCTCAGTAGCCTAGTGGTTAAAGCGACGAGTCTAACTTGGCTATAATGCCGCCAGCGATGTGAACAGATGCAAATGTGCAAAGAAAGTTATCTGTAATTCTTCATTTGTATCCGGTATTTGTAGATTTAAAAATAAATGTTGTAGGCATGACAGATTGTAATACTTGTAAGAGTTCAGAAATGGTTACTGCTTAGCTACCTCTGAAGAGTTGGGTGTCTGCCATAGGGATGTTAATCGTTTCATGTTGTCATCAACAGAACAGTACAGTAGTTATAAATTGAGCTTTTATACTATACAGTATTTCACAATAATTATATATTTTTTAATTAATTAAAAATAATAATAATAATGTGCTTAAGTAAGCAATAACATATTTTTAATTCTGGGGGATTCATTAGCTTATGGAAGACCATTATCTCACATATACGCAGGCTGATTTTTTGCCACTTTTCAGACAAAAATGTGCGTCTTATATGCCGTAAACTACAGCAAGTGGGAAACACTGGAACACATTAACTTTTGTCTTTATTCAAGACATATTCATGTCATGATACCCACTAATACCCCACCCTGACAATGGTTGACCTGACATTGCATCAGAAGGTCAGTAATATGACCCCCTAGTCTTTCACCCACACCTCCATCGCAAGTGTTAAACACAAAAGGTGATTACCGTGATGTATTACATTCAGAAGAGTGGACAGTATCTACCTACTCTAAGCTCAAGATGACAGCACCTCCTAGTGAGTACAGTATATATAGTATACAGTATAGTCTCGATTTAAGCGGATTTCCTTTACGCGTTTGGTCATTTACACGGCACCTGCCCACACCGGCAATTATTAGTTATGCGGGAAGCGGCGCGGGCAGGGTGCGCACAAGGTCGCCCAGTCAACAAAACATTACCGAGTTCTTCACCCGCCACCCACCACAGCCAGCCCAAGTCACTGATAGTGAGGATATGGACTTTGAGGGGTTTGACAAAGAGGCCCTGCAAGCCTCTGTGGTGGATAGTGATACAGGTGAGGGCCAATAATCTGCCCTCTGCCTCTGCCTCTTCTACTAACGTAAGTGTTAAAAACCTAATATTATTGATATTTCTCTTAAATATTAATTGTGTGTGCATACCATCATAAAATTAAGATGTTATTTTTACTACTACGTACGTATTTTGTCGGAAAAAGGGTAGTCTGGGGGTCAGCCCAGTCTCTATTTCAATTAATCCCATATGTTCTGTTATTTCGTTTACGCGTTTCTCGTTTTACGCGGACCTCCACGGGTTTAATTGACCACGTAAACCGAGACTATACTGTAGTAATTATTATTATTATTTCAGTACAGTAAGCCCTTGAAAGTCCAGACAGTTTGAGGGAAAGGGGGTCTGGACTTACTGATTGCCTGGACTTTTACCAAGTCTTATTGGGGGGTTCTGGGGCCACTGTACTCTAAGCAGCCACTAATTAGCCCTGATGATCCTTAAATTTGTGTTTTAATGTGCAATAAAAATAATGTGTGTTTTGTTTTACATTTTTCATTTATTTTAAAGTCAAATGACAAATTATATACAGCAAGTCCCTGTTGAACGAAAGGGTTTGATTCCACTAAAACGCTTTCGTTAGGTGGATTACGTTCATTGAAAAAATTTTTACCATATAAATTAATGAAATAAGGGGGGGTATGTGTTCATGTACTAAGCTCTGTGATGGAATATATATTGTACTGTACTATGTTCTGTGACAAAATAATTGCAATGCATCAAAATATTGTAGATAAAAGCAATAAAACATGTAAGGTACAAATAGTGTTACTGTGCTCACCAAATTCATGTCAAAAGCAACAGGCACAGTGGTTGTTCCTTTCTAAGGCCAGAAGAACACAGATACTTAAACTTTAGTTCATTATTGCTAGGGGCAGGATCGCTGAGCCCATCACCGTTTTCAGATTTAATAGTGATTAATCATGGCATTGTAGCCAGGTGAGACTCATCACTGTAACCACCAGGCTGCTGAGCCAAGCTGTGAGGTGTTATGGTTGTTTTTCAACTCATATTTTCGGGTAGATACAGTGATATCACCGTTAGCCAGAACAATTGGTGCAGAGCACTTCTGAGATGAGAGATTTTTGGGTTACTAGACGACTTTCTCAAACCTGGAAAAGTTCCTTATCCTCATAAGCTTTTCCAGTTATTGGGAAAATTTTCCGAGTGTCTTACCATATTTTTCGGCCTGAATGACGCACTTTTTATGGCAAAAATATACCTTGAAAATTACCATGTGTCTTCCAGGACGCTAGTTGATGAGTTGTAGCAGAGGTTTTCTTAGGGTCAACTGAAATCAGCCCCTTACAAAGACTGTTTCCTCATTACAGTACATAACAAATACAAGTATTCTCTATACAGTACAATAAAACTATTGATTTTACTAATATTGTTGATATACTGCAAAAAAAAAAATAAACCCTTGCTGCTGTGCGGTTTGTTTACAAATGGCAGTGGTGCGGCAGCGCCATCTATTGAGGAATTGCGAAAGGTTGCCTGCTGGTCTCAAAGCGCAGGAATGTTTGTTTCTTCATACGTAGGCTCTCATGTTTGGACACCTATTTACAGTAGGCTCTCATATTTGGACACCCATTTAGACTGTAAAAACCTCGCAAAATGAAAATCTTCCAAATTTAAATACAACTTCCTATGGAGAAAATTAATTTGAGTCTGGTACTTTCGATGTTTGGCTAAAGTTTGCCTTATTTACCATACTTTTGGGGCGAAATACTACCTGTAATTAAGTAACATCTTAATAAACCAACGAAAATAACACATAAAGTTAAATAAAAACTAAAAACAACACAGAAAAAGTTTTTATGTTCTACAGCTTCAGCTAGAGTTGAACCTGATGACTTGGCAATTTCATCATCCGAGTAGAAACACACACAACAAACATTGGCTGTCCTTATGTTTTCAATGTTACCACCACTGGTAGGTAGAATTTTTTTTTTAAATTAAGAAACATTAATTAAAATATATATGAACAGTAAATAAGTGTTGCTTTCATATTCTTATGTAAAGTAATGACGATATGTTTTCACATGTGCTCACTTACATACTCGATCTCACTTTTTTTCTTTACCATTAATGGTTAGCTACTCCCATTGTTCCATATATTAACATTAAATAACGTTACTTAAAACAACCATATTAATTTTACTACAGCTATAACCAGGGTCTTATTTTCTTCAGTTTTATATGTAGAACCAATCAGTCACTGGTTTTGTAAACATAACGAAAACAATGCCGTCTCGTCTCCTCGTGTGTTTTAATATTCTACGTATTATTAATGAATTGTATTGTTCATTTTGCACACATAAACATAAATTCAATCAAAAAGAAATTAAGTAATAAAGAATAATGAATCTTTTGTACATAAGAGAAATGATGCTGTTTACACGATTGTGCACGTCTGAACTTTGGTGGGCCGCTCAAACCTGTCGAAATTCGAGTTTCCGCCGTCAGAATTTG